GCATCTTGTACAGCAATTAACCACTAGGAAGAATGTATGCAATGTATGAATTATTGAAACTGTCCTACCAATTTGATTTGAAACTGTCTCATTGCTATTTGTTTATCAATAAAATTTTGGGAAAAAAAAAGAGGAGATTCAGTGTTAACCTTGACTTTGTTTGAAATTCAGTGGGGTTCTTTCTGAAAATAATTTTAATGAAATGCTAATATCACTACCAAATAGCCAATATAATCTCAATGAGATCACATCTGCTAATCATCTACCAGGAAATATTCTATTATTAAAATGTTTCACCAGGAATTTGAGTTTATAGCCTAACTTAATAAGTTGGTTAGACAGATCTCAACATCGTCTCAATTTTCTGAAACACCAAGACTAAATAATGAAGTAAATTAAGTGCTCAGTGTCTCAGCTACTTTTCTCTTGTTGCTGAGACAAACACCCAACACTCAAAATGAAGGAAGGAAAGGGTTCTTTAGCTCACAGTTACTGGAGGTTTCAGTCCATACTCGGCTGGCTCTAGGGCAGAGCGGCACTTGGCAGAAGGCAGCCTTTCATGGCAGCAGCAAAGAGCAGAGAACAAAAGGGTGGGAACAGTGGCAACAGAGAGCACGTCTGTCTCTCTTATGTTATATTCAGGATATCCGCCCCAGGCTGGCTGTAGCACTCACACCAATAATCCCAGCAGTACTTAGACCCATAATCCCAGCAGTACTCATACCCATAGTCCCAACCTTGGATCATGAGTTAATCAAACTGTAGAACTGTGCCTCAATGACTACATGAGGCTTTGGGGGAACAAATACACACAAACCATAACACTGAGGAAAATTACACTTATGTATATTAAAATGTGCTCTGAAAAACAAAAACTGTTAATCCAAAAATAGATAATAACCTTGGCCCAATTTCAAAATAAACACTTATGTGACCTTCATACTTACACATAGGAAATAGAGGCAGCACTCTACTACACTGCAATTTCAGTCTTTCTGGAAGATCTGAAAATACACACTCTTGTCCACCTACCTACTGGGTGGCATGTACTTTAAATTCTTTTAACATTAAAAAAATCAAGCAACCATAGAAAAAAAGGAAGATAATCTTGAAAAGGCTGGTGAAATACCTAAATTTATGCAAAATAGTGAAGGAGTGAGAAAAAAAAACTTGAGAATAAAAGGTTTATTTGAACCTAGCTCTACGACATTTGACCAATGTAATCCCAAACAAATCATCAAACTTTGTAAGTCTTGACTTGCCTTTTTGAAAAGGGGAATATGGGAATGAAACAAACTAGCATGTGAAACTCACTTGTAAGCTATAAAACCTGCACAATCAGTTTTTTTGAAAATTAGCGATGTAAGTGGCTAATAGTAAATTCTCTCTAGAGAATATTGTTTAATCAGACTTGGAAAGAGTACATAAGGACAGTAAAGACTGTTAAGAAAGGCAAAAGTCCAGGAAAGGAGTAAATGGGGACTCTCAATCTGTGTCATAATTATACTGGAAAATACTAGCTCAGAGAAGAGCCGTGACCCGGGATATTGTAGTATGCAGCTAGAGTTCCAACCACTAGGTCTGAACATAATCAGAATGCCATTCACTACTCAATGAACATCTTTCTAACCTTTTGCAGATTATTAGAAACTGTAAATATTAATTGTGGGAAAACATTGCATTCCAGCGGTTATGCTTATGGAAGTCTAATTGCAACTTTGAACATGAATATTAAATGCAAGCACCAATTTTTAGTCTGCCAAATAAATGTCCATGTGTTTCTGGTCATAACTAGATTTGATACTCAGTAAAAACAGGAGCAAATTAATGTACAATTGGATCTTATTTGTCTGGTCTATATATGCAGAAACATTTATATCTGTGGTAATTAAAGGTAGAAAATGTACTGAAATTGAAAGCAAGGGTTCACGAGCAGTGTTGTGTTGAAGATAATGCAGCTTCAGAATATTTGTTTAAGCCAAAACATTTTTCATGGAGATTTACATTCTTTTAAACTATAAAGCAATTGCTTGCCTCCAGTAAAACCATCCCACCTGTGCCCCAGTCACCAAAACAAAGTAAAATTGAAGGGTTTGGATTCTTATCCTAATGGCTTATTTTGAGTATGAAATAACTGTTCTCATTTCCACAGGCTTACAAAAATGAAAACTCTGTGTGTGTGTGTGTGTGTGTGTGTGTGTGTGTGTGTGTGTGTAGTGAGAGAGACAAAGACAGAGATGGAGACAGAGAAATAGAGGGAGACAGACAGAATGAATAAACACACATCCAGATATAAAAAAATGATCAAGCTATCAATTATGGTAGGCTATAAATTACTAGAAGTAATAAATTAAGTTATAGCTTAAGCTTTCTTTTTGCCACTGTTGAACTCCTTATGACAAACAACCTTCATTTCTCTGTAGTTAAACAGAACCTCTGTTTTTTAAGAAAGTGAAAAATATTGACAGGGCCAGTCCCCCATGATTTCTCCTAAGGAACCCAGGACTTCTGTATCCACTCATAGCCAGCCCAAGAAGATTCTTCTTGTAACCCACTCTTAGAAGCTGTATAGCTTTTCCCGTCTCCTCCTGGATTCCAGATAACTGCAGCCATTTGGAAGCTAAAAGATATTTTTTGTACAAAGCCAGAATATAATTATTCTTACTCAGGGTAACTTGCAATGGAAAGATACCTGCCACTAGCTGTATGAACTAGGAATGTGTGGCTGAATCCTTACTTATTTTTCCTCAATATCAATTGGAGAGAATATCTCCCTGGGTTGTGTGAGAAGCAATTTAGTAACTTAATATTCTTAAAGTATATTAACTCTTGGTGGTGAAAAGATTAAAGGTGAGGACTGTAGCCCTTGTTCCCAAAGAGTTTCAGGCTAATGGAGGAATTAAAACAGAATTTAAGTCATTCCATTCTTCTAAAAAAGATGGCTGTGATCATGTTTCTGACCTGATCACAGAGTTTGCAAACAAAACAAATTTTGCCAAATAGTTGTTTGTGAACCAAATTGTTTTGTAAACTGAGGTACCCCTTGCAGATTTCAATAATGCAAAGCTAGAAAGGAATAAAAGCCCTAAAAGAAAAACACCATGCATGAGACTTGCAAAGAGATCAAGTCCCATGACTTATCCTAGGCCTGGCTTGCAACAAGGATTCAGTAGATTACTTATGGGGTGAGTAAATTAGTGAAGAAAAACATCCAATTCTGGGAAGTGCATGATTCAGAGAAGGCTTATATTGGATGGAATAAAAATGACTATTCAAATATAATGAGGGATAGATTTATATAGGGATGTGTATATTAATTTCATTGTTGCTCTTGTCATAAAAGTAATCACTCATTACTAAAACTGTTAGCTCCCAAGTTATCTGAGAGTCACATGTTGTCTAATAGTCAAATCCAAAGTCAGACCTTGTCTAACCTGGCCAACCCTCAACCCTCCTTCCTCAGCTCACGTCCTTCTGCTTCTTGGGCACTTCTCTGCTTCTCCTAGTTTGCCTCCCACCACTTACTTTCCTCTCCATGCAGTCCCAGCGTAGCTCCGCTCTCAGTGGCCAAACTGCTCCATAGCACAACTTCTGCTGTGCCTCCGGGAGAGTGCAGTCCCCTCACCAAGCATTTACTGCCCCTCAAATAATTCTGCGTAATGAAACTTACCTTTCTTGCCTTTTTCCTCTCTCCTTTCTGCTGGGAAATGATAAATATCCCCTCTTCGTAGTTTTGGCTTGTTGTTTATTCAGTCTAAATAGCCATTCCCATGCTAACCAGGAAAATCTCATCCAGTCACCACCCTACAAGGCCAAGCTGGGATACTTACTCCTTCCTCCATCCTTGCTTAATCCTCTGCACAGAATTAATTAGTTCTACTTCAAACCCACCATTGTATGCACACATCTATTCTTCAATTCCATTTTATTTTAAGTAGTTACTCCAATATTTATATTCCAAACTAATCCTTTTTACATTTATATAAGCAGAGTCTATAGTTAGCATTTAGGATTTAATTCAACAGATAAACAATTGCTACTTCATAAAATATGAAATAACACTTATTTATCTGTCCAGAGAGGCTCAGATCTGTCTATCCTGAATTCAATGCAATGAAATTAGGTCTCACTCCGTCTTGTGTCTAAAAGCAGGCTGAATACCATCTACATTCTCACAGACTTCATTGCAAACCAGAGCCTGTCACCTACACTATTTTCTTAGATCTATAAACTCTTTAATCCTGCGTCTCTACAGATATAAATGAATGTGAGACCACCAACGAATGTCGAGAGGATGAAATGTGTTGGAATTATCATGGTGGATTCCGTTGTTACCCACGAAATCCTTGTCAAGATCCCTACATTCTAACAACAGAGAAGTACGAAAAACATCAGAACTTTTGAAAGTGAGAATTTTCTGGTCTTCCCAAACCACCTAGTGAATACTGTTCTTGTCTATCTCTGCAGCCGGTGTATTTGCCCAGTCTCAAATGCTATTTGCCGAGAACTGCCCTATTCCATAGCCTACAGATACATGAGCATCAGATCTGACAGGGCTGTACCATCAGATATCTTCCAAATACAAGCCACAAGTGTCTTTACCAACACCATCAATACTTTTCGGATTAAATCTGGAAATGAAAATGGAGAATTCTACCTAAGAGTAAGTATCCTATGGGCAGCATGCACTATTGAGACAGGTAGAAATTTATCATTGATATATAGCATTCGGATGAAAGGAAAGTTAAAATTTAAAAAGTTTTATATGTAAGGACTTTCATGTATATTATCACCTTTAAGTCTCCTGGCAATACTGTCAGATAGATATTACATTGACCCCTGTGTTACTCAGCTTTTTGTCACTATGACAAAATACCTGCCATAATTAGATTAAAGGAAGAAAGACTTCCTTGGCCCGTGGTTTCAGAGGTTTCAATCCATGGCCAGCTGGAGCCATTGTTTCTGGCCCTGTAGTGAAGTGAAATAGCATGGTGAAGAAGGCATGGTGGAGTAGAATTGCTCACTTTACAGCAGTTGGGAAGCAGAGAAAAAAAAAGGGAAAATCCCAATAGGTAGGAAAGAATTGTGTATGCCTCGTCTAGTCTTCAAAGTCAATCTTCTGTCCACTAGACCCATCTTCTGTTTCCATCCCTCCCAATAGTACCATCAAATTAAGTTAGAGCCCTCATGATCCTATCACTTTTCCTAAATCCGTCAGCGACTAAGCTCTCAACACAGTAAGTCTTGGAAGCACATTGTGGATCCCACCATAACACTCTCCATGTTTTTTCAGAAGCAAAAAGTGAGATTCAGAATAGACAGCTTCCCTAAAGTCACTCAAATGAACAAGCTGTGGTCTCTAATAGAACTGCATGTCACTACAAAAATACAAGCCTACTCATACATACACACCAAATCTATGATATTTAATTATACATAGAAAAAATATCACTGGAGAGTCTCTAAAGCATCATGAATTCCTTATGGCAACATCTGCAAGACAGTTTACACTCACACCAAGACCACCACCTATCCGTCTCTGAAAAGACCCATATCCGCACACAGCATGTGTCAGCAGTTGTGCCATTCATACAAACTTCAGGGCAGATAGCTGCAAGCTCACCCATGTCTGTTCTTACACCTTTATTTCCTTTGTGAAGTCTCCCCCCTGAATTCTGGCATTTCCCTCTCCACGGGGTCTCCTGGCTTATCTTCACCTGCCATGCTCCAGCCTCTCCTCCTTTGACCACTCCTATCACCTCTCCAATCTCTCCAGAGTATCCAAGCTGCTCTCCTGGATTCCAGAGCCTCTGCCTCCTGGTCTTCCCTGTAAAATTTTAACAAGTTCATTTTAGGATAAAACTCTGACACATTTTAAATATGGCTTAGCACTGCATGTGCAAATGATGGCATCCCACCAGGCAGTGTCCAGGGTTACAGTAACTGTTTCATGCTGAGGATGTTATTCATCCAGTGATGATTTTTTCAAACTCCTTTGGGCACTCTTCACTCTTAATCAAATTAAAGTTAATATTTCATTTTCAGAATATGAAAGCAATTTGAGAAATTCATCCTTGTGGCAAAGTTTACAGATTTTTAATGTTTACATGTTTATCTTGCTCTTTGATGTATGAACTTCCCTTCCAGCTCAAGAATAATATGATTCCAGTAAATTTTAAATGACTAATTTCTCTGACCAACATCTGAAGTGAAAAAACTCAATCCACAATACAATCTATTCCTATTTTTTTCTAATAGAAAAGAATAACTATTTTAGCACTTGACGTTTGAATTTTGATATAAACTGTGTCTCGTAAGAAGTTACCTGTTACTGAGTTTCACACAGTTCAGATAATGCCAATTAAGTCATTCCAGCCCAAACAGATGTTATCAATAATTTCTTGATAACAAAAGAGGTTCATCTCAAAACGTTTGTAAAATAACTTTCCATTTTGACCTCTTAACTGTAACTTAAGAAAGCAGAATTTCTTGTCAGAATTAAAAAATAACTAAGTGAAGGGTTTTTTTATTTTTTTATTTTAGGGAAGTGTTTACAGGGTGTTCAGGGTCTCACTACTAGATCAGACTCATAGTGATCTTCCTGTTTACAGTCTCCCAAGAGCTGGGATTACAGGCGCATGCCACCATGTCCAGTTTCAATTGCTGTCTTAGTGTGCCCTGGGGGCGGGGTTGGTACAGCAGGCCCAGGGATTGAACCCCCAGCCCCTGCACCTGCTTGAGGGTGTTTTAATCTGCTCACCTATTTGGCCAGCCCTGAAAGCTATTTTTTTAACTCATATCTCCATTCATTGACTTTTTGGGGCAGTACTAAGTATAAAACCCAAGGCATTTCACTCAGTTACACATCCAAGCCCTTTGTTATTTTGTATTTTACGACAGGGTCTCACTGATTTGCAAATTTCTCAGGCTGGGCTTGAATATATGATGCTGCTGCCTTAACCTCCCAAAGTACTGGGATCATAGATGTGTGTCACTGTGCCAGCTTGGCCTGATTTTTTTTTTAAATATGGTTACTCATCAACTTTTTCTCAAATGAAATCCTTTTTCTCATGAATGACAAAAATCATTGCCAATTTTGTAATTCCAGAGTTAATTAATTCCAAATTATTTGAAAAATAGCTACTTGAAAACAATTCAAGATTATTTATCATATGATTTTAAAAATACTTGGATCAACTCCTACAAAATTTCTCATTACCATTCCACTTGTGCAGAGGCTTCTAATGTATAAAATTTACTAGCCTTTAATTATGTACTATGTTCTCTGCTTTGTGCTGGGTGCCACGTGGAATTAAAAAGGCATGTAAAGTGATTTGAGAGAGCTTTAAATATCACCATGCAGGAAAAGTTAGCACCTTTACAAAAGAAAGGTCCAATTGCATGAGGAAATCCTTAATCCAAAGACATAAAAATTAACAGATACAGGTTTTTCTGATAATCATGGGAGTTGACCTGATCCTTTGAAAGACTGTGCAAAAAATTTATTTAAATTCCTTTTGGAAGAATACTGAGGAAATCTTCCTTAGAAAAATGGATCTACTATAAAGAAATCTTATGGACCATTTTTTTTTTTTGTGTGTGTGTGTGTGTGTGTGTGTGGCAGTTTTTTAAGTTATTAGCTTTTAAAATCAATACTTTTTAATGGAAACAACTTGACCAAAAATCCATCACAGAATTTTGAGACCCATTAAAACAAAGCTTAATGAGAAAAAAAGAAGAAATCATATGTGAAATGGAAGGCAGAAAATCACTCCCAGCCTTAGTTTTGCTCATAGCCCTGCCACTGCCTGACCTGTCATCCATCGGACTGCGTTGTTATAAGAACAGAGACCTTGCCTACCATTCACTCTTCTGTTCTTAGCATGCAGCATGGGCCCTGGCATACAACAAGTGCTCCAAAAGTTATTTTTAAAAGAATTAATACAATAAACACCTTCAAGGCGTTACTGTTACCTACAAGTACCGCTTGTAAGAGGCAATCTTCCCCTGTATACAGACACCATAGTGAATAAAATCAAGCCAGTTCCTGCCCCATTAGAGCTTATTTTTTAAGACATCAAACATTCACTCAGAGCTACAAATTACTTACATACATACATACATACACACACACGCACACGCACATGCACACGCACACATACACACTGTATTAGGATGCATAGTATTTAGTGGATATTCCCAACCAGGAAAGCAGTGGTGTAGAAGCCTCTGGAAGAAATGGATTTAAGTTTGAATATGAATTAAGAAGAGAAAAATGAACAATATAAAGACTCATTGGTCTGGAAAATCAAGTGCTCAGGAAAAATGCCTGAGAGAAGTTTGATGTGATGAACAGGGATGAGCTCACACAAAGCTTGATAGATTTTAAAGATTTCAAGTAGAGTAGCCTATACTGGATTTTCATGTTAAAAGGACTCTTGCGTATGCTACAGAGCCTGAATTGGATGGGGCCAGAATGGAAATAAAAAGTGCAGTTTGAAATTCAAGAGATAGGAAATTATGGGGTAGCAGTGGATTTTTTTAAAAGACAGATTTGTATGGATACTGAAAGGTGGCTGGAAAGGTGGGTAAGTAGATGCATGAGTCTAAATGCCAAGGGATAAGAGCTTGGGTTAAGATTTAGCAATCAGTACAATGAGAGGATATTAAATGAAGAGAAAGAATGTATATGTGGTAAGACTGGAGTTCAGGTGGAGAATGAAATGGAAGAGGAAAAACCAAGAACTATATAACTTTGTAACTTGCTGTTGGGAATTTAGAGGATAAAAGAGAAATCAGAGATTGCCTCTTCCTTTTTTCTGTCTGACGTAGTGGTAGATGGTAGCACCATTTACTGAGAGAACAGAAAGGAACTGGTGTGGAGGAGAAAATGAGAAATTAATTTTGTATAGATTAAGTCCTGATGCCTGTGAGACATCTATGTAGAGTATATTGGTTTGAAATACAGACTTTCAAGTCACTGGCAACCATGAAGCTAAAGCCACAGCGCTGGTTAGGATCACTCAGGGAGAGAGTGTAGGGAAGAGAAAAGGGCCCAGAACAAGGAAGGGCTCTGTTAGGAAGTGTTTCTTCTGAGCATGGCACTATTTGAATTGTTCACTGCTTTAGCCTATAGTTCCCTGTCTCCCATGAACTTCAGCATCATGCTCTCTGCCATCAGCCACCCTGGCTAGGCCCAGACTTTAATTCATAACAGTTTCACAGGATAAGAACTTGACCTCTAGTAGTCCACTCAATAGCTGGCCTTCCTTCCTCTCTTTTATGCCTACACTCCCATTCTATGTGCTCTTCATCCTCAAAGAGACAGTAGTCCTCTGTCCTCTAATCTATCAAATGCCTGCTGAACACCTAAACTATCCTGTCACTAACACCTCAACCTTCTGTCAGCATCCTCATTTTCATACCCAGCTTGTCTGCACAGATTGCTAATATTATAAAATCTTAGTCTCTGATTTCATATAAATCCTTAGTATACTCCATAGTCCTTGTTTTAATTTCTTCTTTCTGTTCTTTCTAGTCCCTGATCTCAAAAGTTCCCATATTCTTTAAGTCCTTATACTCTTCACTTTTACCTCCTACCCCTCCAAAACTATCAACACCAATATGCATGAATTACTTATACTTTCCATCCCAACCCATGCAAACTTACACCTCTTTGTCCTCCATGTAGCCCGAAGACAAGCTTTCACTTCTGCTAGTCAAGACCAATACGCTATCTGTATTCTTAATCTCACCTCCTCCGGAAGAACCTTACTTCTTCAGGTTCCCCTCTATCTTGCATGTGTTCAATGTCCTTTGCTCTCTAGAGTTTGTCCTGTTGCTTTTTTCCTGGCAAGACTAGGTTCTTAAAATTCAGTCATAATCACACTGTTATTCCTTACTTCAGGTCCCTTCTCTACCTTCTATTCCATTTACCCTCCTAAAGCTGTTGGGGGCAGAGGACCACAGCGACACCCACACATTAAATTCAGAGACCACTTGTCCATTTCAGGATCCTCACCCTCATCAGTTCTGTTGGATATTCCTGGCCACCCATCCAGTACACATTCTATGAGTTATATATTCTCAGCTTGGTTTCACCTTTTCCATTTCATTCTCCACCTGAACTCCAGCCTTACCACATCTGCATTCTCTCTTTTCATTTAATGTCTTCTTATTGTAGTGATGGCTAAATCTTAATCCAAGTTCCTATCCCTTGGCATTTAGGCTCATGCATCCTCTTACCTTCCTTTCCAATCACACCTTCCTCCACTTCCAGTATTCCTCACATTCTTCACCAAAACTAAAGTACCTCCTGCTCATCTAAACCTTGTACTTTCTGGAATTTCTGTTTATCCATGTAAACTTTGCTTAGTCATTCAAAAGCCTCACTTCAATGTTTCAAGCTTTCTCTACTTCTCCCATCGTATACAACTTTATTCACATGTCCTATATATCTGTTTATACCTTAAAACTTACCACCTTCTACTGAAATTAACTGTTCATCTATATGTTTACTCACTACAATGTGAACAGACAGTGTTAAAAAAGTGAAAAAGGACACCACTGTTTACCAATACAAATACCAGATTCTCATCCTATGCAGTCTCTATAAAAGCCAGAACTACTTGATAAGAGGGTAGAGAAATGTTAACAGAGAGCAAGGACTAGAGAAAAGTAACTATTTCAAAAGCAAGTCCGTGTAACTAGCAAGGGCTCAAGGAAAGAAAGGTTCCAAGTAAGAAAAGATGGCATAGCATCCTTTATTCCCCTGCTTCCTCTAATTTCTATAGGAGATGTCATAACAAATAACAAAAATCCCCCCATTTCTTTCAGCAAACAAGTGCAGTGAGTGCAATGCTTGTGCTCGTGAAGCCACTGTCAGGCCCAAGGGAATACATCGTGGACCTGGAGATGCTGATGGTCAGCAGTATAGGCACCTTCCGCACCAGCTCCCTGTTAAGATTGACAATAATCGTGGGGCCGTTTTCATTTTAGCCTTTTATAAGAGTCTACCGCAGGCATTTAAACCAGCCAAAGAATATTGTTACTTTAAAGCACTATTTTATTTATAGATATATCTAGTATATCTACATCTATATACTGTACACGCACCCATAATTCAAACAATTTCACCATGGTATAAAGTGGGCATTTAATCTGTAAAGATTCAAACTTTGTCTTTATTGTTATGTGTAAATTAGACAGTAATCCACTAAACTGGTCTTCTTCAAGAAAGCTAAGCATGCATGATCCAACGAAACTTGGATTCTTTCCTGTAAAAATGGAGCCAAGAAATAACGCTCTTCCACGTGCTCACGGGAAGTGAGGGCAGCTCCACTGCCAGTCTTCCAGGCAAGCAGCCCACGGCACTGAGGAGCACACAAGGGCAAGGATGAGTTTTTTAGATGCTTTGTAAGAAAATGGAAAATGTCAAGATATATTTCTTTAGAAAATGAGAAGTTACCGTATTTATGCTTATCTTTATTTTCATGAGTCTAAAGGTGGTTTCTGTAGGTATTTTACATTTTGTGAGGATTCCCATAAGTAGAAAAACACAATAAATAAAATCTTGCAAAATGAACCAAGTGTCCTGCAGACAAATATTCTATTAAGAAACCTATGGAGAAGAACTAAGAAAAATAGTTTTCTAAACCACTTTGGAGTTGACCTGAAGGAGTAAATTCAGTAAATACAGTAACATCCTTGGAGTTAGAATTACTACAAGATGCAGAGGAAAATGGGAAAAGGATATTTCACTGGACAAGTTTTATTTCTTAATAAAGTGAAAATTTTAATACTTCACTAATTTATAAGAAAAAAGTTTTATCTTTGTATTTGATGCTCATAGAGGAAGAAAATTATGATGGTTCTTACTCCTGGCACTCAGCAGCAGTAAGCAAAAGAAAATCTCTCCATCCCAATTCTATGAAAACATTTTATGTCTTATTTGTTTGAAATGTAATTGATTCACTTTAGTGTGTCATTTTTTAAATAAAAATATTCTTTCTAAAAGATCACCCAATCTTTGGAGGTTTTTTACTGTAGCCAGAATAGCTCATATATAACTTTTAGATCTGGGGAAAAAACAGTTATAGCTACCAAGGCAAAATCAACTGGTTCCATTGTTGAAAAAAACTCTCATACCTACAAGTTCTAGTGGGAACTACCACAGATTTACTTTACGTCCTTATGGATTTGTCTTTCGGGACATTTTGTATATACAAGATCATATAATATTTAGTCTTTTATGTCTAGCTTCTTTCACTTATATTTTCCAGACTCATCCTTGTTTGTATCAGTACTTCATTTGTTTTTGTGACTGAATAATACTCCATTTTATAGATATACCACATTTTGTTTATCCATTCATCAGTTGATGGATGTCAGTTAATGGGTTGTTTCTGCCTATAGTTTCTTTTATCTTGGTTATCAAAAGAAACTCATTGCTGAACCACTCATTCACTGATTTCACACCTAAATTCACTCATCTTTAGTTTCCTTTTGTAAAAGCAAGTAAACAAAGGGTTTTTTAATTATGGGAACAAAATACTTGGAAAGAACTTTGAGATGCTAACATATGAATGTGTTTCTATGTACAATCATCCTCAATAAATATGACAATCTTATGGTCTCTTTTGGTAATTTGAAGTTCAAAATAAATATGATGATCAAAACCAAGCTAAATCAGTAGAACACAGGCTGCTTTTTTAAACTATACTACCTCCTACCATTGTTCTGAAAAGTCATTGCTCTGAACCCCCTTCCACAAATAAGAATTCAGGAATAATTTATTAACAGTCACTAATATATATATATATATATATATATATATATATATATATTCAAGCATATATTCAAACATATGTGTATTTAAACATATATTCAAGTACTGAATATATATATTCAAACCCAGGTTCTCTCCAAGGTTAGGCAAACATCTCAGCACTGAACTGCATCCACAGCACTATTTCTTTTTTCTTGGAAAACTTTTATTGAAAAGTTCCTAAAATAATCCTTTCAGAAGAACCAGAATTCTAGCACCTGTTCTGGGACTAATGAGCTGAGAGTCCTTGGGCAACTCACTTAGATTCTCAATCTCAAAAACTGGGATGTTGAAACAAAGTATTTTTATTTCCAGCTTTAAAAAAATGTAGCTAATCCCTACCCTGAGGGATTCATTGAAAGAAGAGATAGGTCTATTTGCTACATCTTTGTAAGCATCTGTGTGTCTTTTGAATATAGTGACAACTGAGAAAGACTGGGCATTGGTGGAAGAAAACAATTAATAGTTGCCACCCCAAAATATATGCTTATATTATTGGGGCTGAGGTCATGAGAAATAATCCAGTTGGGTTGTAATTATTTTTAAATTATAAATCAAAATCCAGTGTTTAGATTCATGCTCTGTTTCTGTTCCTTTCCACTGTCTCTAACTCAAATATGAGTACTCATCCTAAACTGAAAGTCATTCACCTGGTTTCACTAGGGGAGAAAAGACTAGTGTGGCCTGCACTCCAGAGAGATGCCTATGTTTTGTTTCAGTGAGCCTCAGTCATGAGGACCGGCCTGGATGTTTCCACTGCTTCCTCATTCTCATGCCTAAGGCCTGAGCTGTGAAACTCCCATTCTCTCCAACGTGTGGAGTTATTTTCCCTAACAGTGGTTAAAAGCAACCTGTTAGTGGTTCAGCCCTCCCGAAAGCAAAAGAATTTCCCTCAGGTGCCTTATTTCCCACACAAAATCTCTTCTGCTACATATCCATCTTTTTAATAACAATAAGGTCCTATAATTAGATACAGTCTTGTTAAACGCTCTTGTTTTAAAGATTTGTTCAAAGTCTCAGTTTGTTGAGCAGGAGCATAGTGCATAGAATGCTGATCGTATGACAGATTACAGCTCTTTTCATGGGAGCTATCCAAATTTCAATAACATCAGACAATTTCTTTCCTCCCAAGCTTCCTCCTGTAAAGTCTCCATTCCACATTGTGGGTCAGACTTGCCAGTTACATGACCAGATGTTATTGTTACTATCACATGCGATCAGCTAAAATAACAAAGTTATCAACTTGATAATGATTTACTCTTGCAAAGCATAGCCGATTTGTTCTCTTTAACTCCCAAGAGGTAAAATAAGTGTATTATACATAATATTCCTGAACTTTACAAATCGAAATACAAGGATGAGTCATGCAAATCTTACTAAACTTGAGAAGACAGCAATTTCCAAAAGAAAAAGTAACCTATTGCTACAGATCCAAAGAAAGAGCTTTCTAAATGAAATGGGTCAAACATTCTCTTGGACCAGGACATGGACAAAAGTGGCTTAGAGAGTCTTTTCTTTCTTAAAGGTTCATATAAAGAAAGAGGTAATGTAAAAAATACTGCCATTCCTTGACTTTGGTTAATGTTATTAAATGATTCTTAAAGAAGATAATATGTATAATAAACTGCTTCTTTAAAAGCCTGGAGTAAGATAATTGCATATAATTTACAGCTCAGTTATCAATGGATCTTTTAGTTCTTTCACAATATATTTACATGAAAAAACATAAAATAGTTTTATTAAAAATATTATAAAAATATAAATATTGAAAGGTAGAAACCAGCTAAAAACTAATTCCCATATCTAATAGATGTCATCATTTCTACCACTTTATGAGACATGTGTTAGCGAATCCAAAGGAAGAAATAGACTATTCAGTGCCCTAAAACCATCTGAACACAGTTCAGTGGGATTATTATTATGGGGAAGTTACACAAACAAAAAGTTTTTGCTGAATCTTGCTTCCTTGAGTTCAGGCAGTTGCTTCAAGTGTTTTTGAATAGTTATGTACATTTTTAACTTTCTAACTCTCCTTTTAAAATACAGAACAGCTGCTGGCCTGTTCTTACGTTATGCATAAGTAGCCCACAAAGGACAAAGCTCTCCATTAATGTGTTGAATTATTTTTAACACACTTATATTTCTATCCTGAGTCACCATCCCTGAAAGATGGCAAGTTTCCATCTTCCCAGCTGAGGGGAGCACCTGCAAAATGCAAACTTAAACTTTGACACATCTGGTACCAGAAAAACCAATCTTGTTTCATCTGGCCTACAGACTAAAATATCAAGATCGTGGAGCAGAAACAAGCAAAAAGGTAACTGCTTCTTATATGTAGTGAACGCAGATGTCTAGTTAAGCTGTTTATATTATAAGCATATGTGTATATTAACAGAGCCCAGACCCCTTTAATAAACCAGAGTCAGAATATAACTGCACGAGAATTTTCAAGAACTGAAAGCAATACTTCGACTTTTTAAAATCTTTTAACCTTTGCATAGAAACTAGTTTCTGCAGGTCTACATTCTCTTTAAACAGCTGCATGTAACCCTAATGATTTTGCTAAGAATCTCCCAATTGCTTATTTCCCTTTAAAACTGTGTTCCATGTTTAATATTTAGATTATGTTTCTTTTAAGTGGTAAATTACTTGTACATGGCTGAAACCAGTTGTTTTGGGTTGCGCTGCCCCATAAGCAGACCCTGGCTCAGAACTGAGTTTAGGAAGCTTAAGAGGTTATCTCAGGGAGCACACTCAAGATGGGGAAAGGGAGCCAGGAAAGGGAGAGCTATCAAAAAATGAGTGAATGAATGAGTGGGTCACCTCTGTGGGCAACTGGACATCAGGTTCCTCAGGACCTCAGGGATCCTCTTCGAAATCCTGTGCAATCACCTCAGAATCAATTCCACCAAAGTCAAATAGGCTAGGGCATTTATATGCCAAATCCCAGCCCTGCGGTAAGTTTGCCCACACACAGAGACTTACTCAAACACAACAGCCTGCAGGTGGGCAAGCTCTCTAATGCTGGAAAAGCTCTCAGGCAGGGGGAAGAAAAACAAAACCTTGACACAGGACAGTGTCAACAAACCGGAAATTCTACCAGAGCCCCTAGGACGCCCACATGGTGGAGGGAACTGAAGGTGACATACCAGTATCTGCAGAACAACTTGATGTCTCTGACAATTCTAGTTTGAATACTGCCTTGATATCCTAGTATTCTTCCAGCGGACTAAAGCGCCTGCTTAGCCAGGCACAGGGACTGTGGTTTCCATCGCTGGAGGGCTGTGCTGGCCCCTCCCCCAGGGCGCACTGAGATGGCGACTGAGACTGGACATGGTGGCGCATACCCGTAATCCCAGCACTTGGGAGGCTGAAAGCAGGAGAATCACTACAAGTCCGATCTACGCAGTGAGACCCTGTACAGCCTGTACACCCTATAGATCTGGTCCTAAATTCATAAAAAGAATAATTTTAAAAAGATATCTTAGTATTCCATAAACTTCTTCTATGATTTATTTTATCTTTCTTTTTCTCCATCTTCCCCTCTGTGCCTCCTTGTCTACTAAATTTCTTCTTCTCTAAGTACCAAGATTAGTAAATCAACCGCCAGCATATGCAAACCATGTGGTACTAAATTAGATACACACATACAATACTACGCCGTGTGGTATCCTATCTTTAATACCAAAAACCTGTCTGCTGTAGAGCTCATCATAAGTCAAACTCAAGTACTGTATAAAATGGGTTGCTCAGGGGCGGCCAGGTAGCAGAGCGGACTAAAGCGCCTGCTTAGGCAGAGGGCAGCAGCCGGGGTTCATCCACTGCGCGCAGTGCCAGCCCTGCCCCGGGACGCACTGAGATGGTGATGGAGACTGGGTGTGGTGGCACACGCCTGCAATCCCAGTGTTTGGGAGGCTGAAAACAGAAGAATCACTACAAGTCCACTCTAAGTAGTGAGACCCTGTAGACCCTGTACCAAATGCAAAATAAATGAATAAGTTGCTCTTCAAAGGTAAATTTTCAGGAAAGCTAAAGAGGCCGACACTGCAAGGCCCCTCCCTTACACCAGCCTTGGAAGAGCCCCCGTCTCTTCCCTCCCGCGGTCATATACATGCTACCTGAATTGCAGCATTGCGCTTTCCGTTTCCCCCATCATACTTTTCCTGGAATAGGTCATAAGCATTCAGAGGAATCCAGCCCGGGCAATTACAGTTAAGACAGCATTCAGTTTGAATGTAGTAAGATGTTTTTAAATAGCTAAGTTACTTTTCTGTGTGATTAAGTTGAGCTCCTTGCTGGCGTAGAAATACTTTCTAGCACTGCTCCTATCCCCCTCCGTGTGGACCTTAGCTGACAGCAGGCACAGCAATTCAGGGATAGGAGCTCTATCTCAGTGTAAACTCTTCTACCATCTAGCACCAGACATAAATAGTAGAGAAAACAGTTTTGAAATACTGAGAACCATAAGGCAATCTGTAGAAAATCTTTTATTTATTTATTTTTCTGATACCAGGAATTGAACTTAGGACCTTAGCATTTCCAGGCAAGCACTATGCCACTTAATTATATCTCCAGTAGGGAAAATCCTTTTATTCATCAGAGTTGTAAAATGATAAACAAATGATCTGAGTTTTCTTTTTTGTTTGTTTCTATAATAGTGGGTTTCATTTTGATACATTTTTAAAAGAAGTACAAATGACTAATAAGTGTATGAAAAAAATTGGAATATCTTTAACCATCAGGATTATGTAAATAAAATCTACACTGAAGGCCAGGGAGATAGCTCGGTGGCATAAGTGCCTGCCCGGCAAGTGCACGCATTTATGCCACTGTGTGTGCCTCATAAACCCTTCTT